AGAAGGGAGGAGCTAGAGAGAGGGATACAGCCTATGTGGACATTCCTCCATTACACTGGCTTTTGCAAACAGTCTTCACCTCTGAATGGCACAATCAGTTTAGACTTGTTATCCCATAGACAAAATCTACTAGAACATATAAAGGATTGAAAAAAAAATCAGATCCCCCAAATTGAAAGACCCAATCCAAAAATGGGCATCTTTCATGAAAATGCATTTTTCAAATGAAGAAATACAAATGGCAAATAAATACATTCTATCTCACTCCAGAAAGAATGGCTTTCATCAAGAAATCAACCAATAACAAATACTAGAGGGGCTGTGGGGAAAAAGCTATCCTTTTCCAGCATTGGTGGCAGTAGAGACTGGTGCAGCCATTGTGGAAATCAGTCTGGAGATTCCTCAAAAAACTAAGATTAGAGGTCCCATTCGACCCAGCTATTCCCCTTCTGAGAATCTTCCCAGAAGAATTAGAAACATCATATCACAGCAATATATTTGCACTCATGCTTATAGTGGCACAATTTGTAATAGCTAGATCTTGAAACAACCCAATGGCCATCAACCAAGGAATGGATATAAAACATTGTAATATTTTTACACAATGTAGTGCAATTCAGCTATAAAGAAAGATAAACTTAAAGCTTTTATAAGTAAATGGATGAAAATTGAGACGACACTTGTACGTGAAATAAAACAGGCTCACATGTGTAAACATCATATTGCCTCCCCGGTATGAGAAACTGAAAAAGTAAATATGATCTAAAATGCACAAAGATATTGTGAAATGGAAAAAAAATCTTCAAAAGGAAAAAGGAACTAGGATGGGGCAAAAGAGGAAAGGATGGAAGAGAAAAGAGAAAAAAATGCGAGTAAGTTATACTATTAGTATATCTTAGTTCAGTGAAAAGGAAGATTTTTGCTAATATTGATTGGAGAAATTTTTATGCCCATATCATGTACTCTGTATAACTACTTTAAAAATAACAATATACAACGTATGAACTATTGTTATCCTAATATTTTGCTATGAAATTTTGTTTTATCCTTTTTCCATAAAATAAAACATAGATGAATCCATTGATGATCATAATGCCCCCGATCCTATTACCTTATAAATTCCCACCTCTGAACACATGAGATTCCCAGGGGACATTCTAGATCTAACCCATAGCAGAGGTGGAACACTGATTTGAAAGAGACTGTCCTGCTGTTTCTGTTCATTTGAAAAATAGATGTCTGGTTTTTCTCTTCGTAAGCCGTAATGAAAGGTGCAGAAGATAAAAGTTATCAATTGTTCTTTTTCCTGTGAAGATTTATACACAGTTAGTTGAAGGGTGATGGAACAACAACAATGAAAAAACCAAAACCCAAAGGGATGCATTATGCCTGAGTTTTGAGGTTAAACAACCCTGAACTTAGAATGAACGACCTGGAATTGTGCCCAGTGTATGACATGAGGTCAGTAAATATCTGCTGGATAAACAGAACTAATCAGTGACAAAAGGGAAAATAATTAAAGTTTCTGACTACTTTGTGTCAGATATTTTGACATGCATATAGATGTATTAATTTATATACTCATTTAATATATACTTAATTATTTCTCATAATACTTCCCCCAAAAGAAATTAAAATACAGAGAAATGTTTTAAGTCCTCATACAACTGTAAGAAATAAAACGGTGGGAAAAACACAGAATTTGGAGCCAGAGATGGTGATTTGATTCCCTCTTTAATTTATGTTGTATAAAATAAGTATCAACTTCACTGATAGATTTTTTTTAAGTCATGTAAACGTGGTGATAAAATTTATTTTATCACAGTTTCAATAACTGTTTTAAAACAATTCTACCCTCCTTTAGATACACTCACTTAAACACAAAATATATAGATCATGGTGGAGAACACACAGTAGGTGATTGTATTATCTTCCTAGAGCCAAGTAATGTACCAAATAACTGAGTGCCTTATAAGAAGAGAAATTTCTTATCTCATAGTTCCAGAGGCTAGAAGTCCAAGATAAAAGTATCTTCAGGTGCCACTGTCACTCTGGTATGTCTGAAGAAATCCTCCCTTGTGTTTTACTAACTTTGGGTGGCTTACAGACAATCTCAGGCCCTTCTTGGTGGGCAGCTGGGCTACCTCCCAGTCTCCAGGGTCATCACTGTAAACTGCTTCCCTGGGGTGCTTCTTTATCCTCTTCCCTCTGTGTGCCCTTTTCCTCCATACCTGACTTCTCTTTTTTATAAGGGCAGAAATCACAAACAATAGTTACATTAAGACCTTCATTAAAAACTTCCTCCAACTTCATAAAATCTGTGCAGGCTGTTTCTAAATAAGGTCAAATTCACAGAACTGCGGTATTAAGACTCGATATCTTTTTTCTTTGGAATAAAATACAAGTCAATGCATAATAGTGGTCTGTAGTCTGTGTTTAACACTATTTTCTTTAAATAATATGAATAATAACAGACTAGAAACAGGATTTAGCATAAGGTCGTGTTTTGGGTTCTATAGACTCTCTACAATTGTAAGTATTCCCACAAGGGAAGGATTTGGAAAGAAAAAACAGTGACTGGTTTAGAATGGATTGTGTTTAAACTGACATTTTGAGGCTCATTTATACTTGTCTATTAGAGAGCTTGTGGTTTTAATTTTTATCTACTGATAAATGTGTACAACCAAACAACCTCATCAAAAGAGAAGCATTACCCCAAGGCATCTCATAATTGAATATAGAGAACTGATTTATGATTTTTTACTGTCTGCTGAAATTGACTATTCAAATCAAGATATTTGTCTGAATGTTTATTTCCATAGAGATTTAAATTCTTTTAAGTATGTGTGCTTCCTTCCACATTTCTTTCTACCTCTTGCTCAAATTTATTCATCTTAAAAGCCTGCTTCAAGCTTTCTTCAAATGCTTATTCATAGAAATAACAAAATAAATATTTAGATCCTTTAATATACTTTCCTTATTTCTAGAAGAAATTTTCAACTTGTCTTTTGATTTTTCCACAGGAAACAATTGGTAAAGCCACAATTGGAGATTTTGAGTATGATTTGTTTTTTGCAATTTTATGCTTGAACTTACAAGGTTTGTAAAATTAAAATACTAGAAAAGAAGATGATTATAATGTTTCATTCAAATTGTATTATTTTATAATGCTTCACATCAATTCAGGCAATTAAACATCTTTTCAGGGATTGGGTTGATGTACAGGAAATAGTAAACTACCTAGCAAAACATCTCTGTCTTTTTATGCCTATGTTATGGTTGATACATTGTGTCAATTTGGGGAGTCTAGAGGTTTGGCTAAGTGACTCAGCAGGAAGCCAGGGTGCTTACTTTGTATACATCCTGAGCCTGTGGAAGAGGAGGGCATGGATGTTATGTGAGAGCTACACACCCCTTAGGTGGGGGTAGCCTGTTTACAATGTAAGGCAGGGGAAGAAGCTGCTTGCTGCCATTCCTCCCTTTTGCTCTGGCTGTTTGCTGTTCGGCTGCCATTCCCCGTTTGCTGTTGTTGCTTTGCTGTCTTCTGCCTCTTAGCCAGCCAAGTATGGACTGAAACCTCCACAAACTGTAAGCTAAATAAACTTTTCCTTCCTTCATTTTGGGCGTTGGGTATTTTGTCTCAGCAACGAGAGAAAAGTAACCAAGACAGCCTATATGAGTTTATTTGTTTTAAAAATTTCTTACTGAATATGCTTGCAAAATTGATGAACCACTACAGAACCATCCTGCCCTATCTTTTAAATAAAAACAAAAAAGAAGCAAACAAACAAATCCTCCAATTTTCCACTACAAGAGCATTAATATTTCTGATAATTAACATTTCCAACAATTTCATCAGTTTAACAATAAAGTCACTAACCTTACAGGTTTACTACTTTGCATATTAAGTTCTTAGGCTTTTCTATGTGCTCATAGAAAAATAAGTGTACAATTTGAGAAAAATATTCTCAACACTTTTGTGTTCTTTTGAGAAAGCCAGAGTGCAGAGCTCTAAAGAAGTTTTTAAAAGTATTCTCACAATTAAGGAGACTTGATTATATTTGATGAATACTATTGGCATTCATGGATGCTCAGGTTTGTGAAGCGATCTTTTAGCAATTTTCGGGATTTTTATTCAAACCTTGCTGTTTGGCATGCATCATTCTACATATTGATTTGCTCTACATTTGAAATCAGTTAAGATACTTTAGGCTATATGCTTTGGAAATGGGAAAGTAACCATGAAGGAAAGTAACAGATTAAATTATTGCCCCCATTTTTGTAAAAAGGGAACACACTTTTGTGGTTATATCATTCTTGTAAGTTCCATCACATGTATGAATAATAAAAGGAAAATCACGTGGAAACTATATGGGATTTAAAAATACTTTAGCAAGACAATATAATTAATGGTTAGCAAATTGTCACTTCTTGATATTGAAAAATCTATTTACAAAATTGTAAATGGCCAAAGGAGTATTTGAAAGATACTGCCATCATTGATCATAACTAAACATTGGTTTTCAAGAGTTTAAATAGCAAGAAACTAATAGTCTGCTTCTGAAAGCAAGTTCAGACTATGTCAAAGATAAAAAGAGCTTTTAATGATTTGTTTACACAATTTTTATTTGGAAGGAGACCTTGACACACCTTCAAGAAATCATAAGTTGATACAGCAGGCATACTCTATGCTACTACAATGCATACCATGCAGTATAACAAACTAAATCCTTATCTTGTCATCAACACGTATGTGCTGGTGCGCTTTACATTATGGAGACAATATACCTAACATATACTACTTAAAGGAACAATGGTTTATTTTGTCTCAGAGTTTCAAGGGTTTGATCACACAGTCATCTGGCTACTTTGTCTTAGCTCTATCCAGAGGCAGAACATGATGGAAGGCATGGTGAACCAAAGTCGCTCACATCATAACAGCAGAGAAACAGACAGAGATAGTGAAAGAGCCAGAGGAAAGTTATTCCCTTCATACTCACACCCTCAGTGCTGCATTTACACCAATGAACTCCCACCTACTAAGTCTGTATCCCCTTCCACGGGGCTGTCAAATTATGACTTCATCAATGGGTTATTCCATTGATGCAATTAGAACCTCTTGATACAGTCATCTCTGTAAACAAGCACAGACACACCCAGAACTGTGATTCTCTAAATTAAGCATTTTTCAATCCAATCAAACAGAAAATCAAGATCAACCATCACATCCTACAAAGGTAATTACTAAGGAATCTATACTGTTGCTGTGAATTTGTATGTGATGGCTACAGAGGTCTATAATCTAGTTCTCATGGCGGTTGTAATCTGTCATTTATTTGGTAGTTTGTTTTATTGTATCTATTAAATTATGGTTTTTAGTATCATAACTGGATACCTAAGTGGACTTGACAGAGTAGTCCCAAAATTAGAGATCTCCCTTAGCAAACGAATCTTGTCAATCTAATTATTTAGAAGCTACATACTTAAGACAAATTATTTCCTACTTGTACTGAATTACGTGTTCACACACAATGTGTAATCATGAATGGGAAAACATAAGTGAACACTGAAATACAAAGGTTTGGCTTCAAAATGATGTAGTTTTGAGTTTTGGTTCAACTACTCTCTAACTATGACTTTTGACAAATTAGCTTTATCCATTTGATGTTCTTCAAATTGTTTTTAAGCTCTTTCTCTTTAAGTTTTGAAAGTTATATGGAGTTGGCTTGTATTCATGAGGTTAGCATGTTCAAATATTTTACATATAAATGAGTAAACAATAAATGATCATGATGAATTTTATTTTCTTAACAGAAAAGACTTAATAGATACTCCTCTGAGTGGCTGTGGATATAATTTCTGCTTCCAGTGCTGCAAGTAGAATTTATAGATTAAAAATTTCTAATGGATAAAAAATGATTAAGCAAATTGGGTACATCCTCAAAATGGAGTAGTATCAGTATTGAAGTATTAAAAATCATGTCATTGGGCAATGACATAAATGAACATGGACAAAAGCATGTTAAATGAAATAGTAAAAACAGAAGGCAAATGCCTCACAACCTCATTTGTATGTGCAGGGTTAAAAAATTGAGCTCAAAGGAACAGAAAAGAATAGTGGCCATCAGGTGCTGGAGTGGCTGGTGAGAGGGTGCAGAATTGTTTGCCAGAAAATTCAAAATGTTAAGATAGAATAAGTTTGGGGCTGGGGATTTAGCTCAGGGACACAGTGCCTACCTGGCAAGCACAAGGTCATGAGTTCAATTCCCAGTAGCTGAAAAAAACCAAAACGAAAAAAAAAAAAAAAAAAAAAAAAAAAAAAAAAAAACCAAAAAAACCAGATAAGTTCAAGAAATCTAGTTTATAACATAGTAACTACATTTAATAACAATGTATTTTACTGAAAATTGTGGAGTAATTGTGAACTTTCTCACAGTATTACTAGATTGATTTACCCATTCAACAATGCATTCATGTCTGAAAACGACATATGTATAATAAATGCATACAATTTTTGTGTTGATTAAACAATGAATTCATTAAAACATATTAACAAAAATGTCTTCCTGGAGGACTAATACAGAAGGAGTATGCCATTTTATATGAATGTCAGCTCTTTCATAGTTGAGGTCTTAGAAATCAATTAAATGAGTCAACCAACCACAGAAAAATACATTTATTTTGAGAGAATGGGCAGGAATTTTTGCAAATTTATCTTTTACAAACACATGAGTGTTTTGAGCATCCCCTTACTGAGCAAAAGTAGTGTTTTGTTTCACCTATCTGAGTAAGCAGAACTCTAATAAGGTCACCTATCAGGCACTCTTAGGTTTTTCTTCAGTACATGTGTGATAGAGGAGGGTCTTACTCCCTTCCATGGAATTTAATAGGTGAGCAGGAGTGACTATCTGCTCCAATAATATCAGTAAAGAAAGACACTTTTGGCACCAGGCAGTAACCTTGATATTTGTCAGACCAAAAATATACATGTAATTAACTAAAGTTCTTTAAAAGCTCTTTGGTAAATACCATTATGACCTTACTTTTACTGTAGCCAAGAGTATTACTTGGCATGCAAAATTTAACTCTAATGACATATCACCAATGGTTTTATAAATGCATGCTGATTTATATACTTCTGAAAAAGTTTTCCTCTTGGGGTGCTAAATAGTGATCTAGCTAGCAATTTCATTTGTGTGTGTAATAAAAATTCTGGTACCATTTTTGGAATTACTTTCAGAGTGTAAGCTATATTTTTCCAGTGAGGCTAAATTTTTGTTTAAAGATATTTAAAAGTACTTTAGTTACACTAATGTCCATAGTGACTTTATTTTGCAAAGCCAGATATTGAAAGCAAATATCCTTTAGCTGCAAAATTGGATAAACAAACTGTGCTGCACACACACAGTGCAATTCTACTCAGCAATAAAAAGGGAACTATGATATACGTAAGAGAGTACAGGAATTTTAGACATTATTCAGACTAAACAAAGCTAGACTCAAGAGATTATATGCTGTACAATTCCAGTTATTGGACATAAATCAGAAGTCAAAGCTACAGTGATAATAAAGATTTCTGGTTGACAAAGTCTGTGGGAAGGTAGAAGGTGTCAATGGGGAACAAAATGAATTTAGAGGAAGAGGGAACTGTTCTGTATCTTTTTGGGGGTGGCAGTCCCACAAGCCTCTTCATGTACAAAAACTCATGAGTTTATTGTGCTGAAGAAAAAAGTTCACTGCATTATTTGATAAATTGATGAGCATAAATTTTCATTCAATTAATACATATATGAAGTTTTGTGTTTTTGTTCAGATATATCAAAGGTCAAAAGCTGGATAAAAATAACATCAATGATTTTTAAAAATGATTCAGAGAAGCAAAATGAGAAGTCAAATGAGTTGTGAAATCTGGAGGGAAGTGGCTGTAGTGACAAGCCAACCCCGAGCTTAGCCCCCCTAAGGCAGATGCTCCAAGATGCTATGTAAGTCAGAAGAAAGCTTAAAGTAGGCAGGTCTGTGCTCTAAACACGCTGGAGGAAATCTTTGCAAGTGGGGTAGAAAATAGAAGCCTGGAATCCTGTACAAATAAATGCTTCTTCTCAGGGGCTGGGGATTTAGCTCAGTGGCAAAGCGCCTGCCTAGCAAGCACAAGGTCATGAGTTCAGTTCCTGGTACCAGAGAAAAAAACAAAAACAAAATAATAATAAATAAATAAATACTTCTTCTCGTCTAGGTGCAACACAAGGCCTTAACTTGCAGGGGGGAAAGGATTCAAAACTATAGTTCAAAGAGCCTATGTCTACCTCCCCATTTCTTATCTTCTATATTTTATTTTGTTCTTGAAATTGGGTGTGCATTAAGTTTCTCATGTAGATGAAACCAAGCCATATTTAACCATCTGTGTCTAATTTATTTCACTTTGCATTATGTTGTCAGGGTCCAATCATGTTCTATAAGTGATTCAAATTTATCCTTCTTTGTGACTATGTAATACTGATTGCATGTATATATATATATATATATATATATATATATATATATGCCACATTTTCTTTACCTGTTACTTTACTAATCCATTTCTTCACTGATGCAAAGAAAACAGAGATGGAAAGAAAAGTAGATTTCAGAACAAGGAAGATTATCAGGGATAAAGTGATATAGTAGATAATGATGAATAGGGCCATTTGTCTCTCTTATCCCAAATATGCAAGCATCTCCCTCTTTCTCCTTAGAAATATGTGTACCCAGTAACACATTTCCAAAATGCATGAGGAAAAAATTGACCAATTAAAACTAGATATATGGAAATACACAATTATAATTAGATAGCTTACTTCAGTTTCAGTGATTGATAGGTCACATGGAGAATCAGAAAGTACCTAGATGAGCAACTTGATCTAATATTTATCAAGTACTGAACATATTTTTCTTATGTATGCTTATTCTCTTAACCAAGAAAACTATATTATAGCATATTAAAAATACTAAATTTGAAAGAATATAATCATACCAAATATATTCTGATATCATAACAATCAATTACCTATCAATAGAGAGAGATAACTGGAAAATTAATAATTTATAGTTAAACTACTAAGTAAGCTAAGGATCAATGTACTCTCAAATTTAATTAAGCATGTTTAACAGAAGTTAAAATGAAAATACAGCAAAACTTGAGTTTTGCTCAAGGAACCTATCCAATTACGCTTGCTTTTGCCTCTTTTTGAGAGCTTCTTGTAGGTGTGAAGTTCCATTGTTGTTAAACAGATTGATTGCTTACACTGATACAGATTAATTTGGGTGGCATTTTTCTCCAAAATTTTTGCACTGCTTCCTACATTTTACCTATCTCCTTAGTCTCATTTGAAGTGAGGATTTCCTTTCCTACCGTTTACTCCTCCTCCTTTGCAGAGGAGATCTCCATCACCTCTTGCTGCTTACAATCTAATTGTCTGCTTTCTACTCTTAGGTAGCTCTCCTTTCTCTAGTTTTTTTTAGGAATCTCCACGCTGATTTCCACAGTGGTTGCACCACTCTACACTCCTACCAACATTGGAGAAAGGTTCTTTCTTCTCCACCGTCCCTGAAGCAGTTTTTACTGGATAATTTCTTCATATTAGCCATTCTTTCTGGGGTGAGATGTTTATAACAGCACAGTTTGTTGTAGCTAAATCTTGGAAACAACCCAAATGCCCATTAACTGAGGAATGGATAAAAAAAGATGTGTTTTTTTAATACTATATCGTACTACTTGGCCATAAAGAAAGATAAACTCAAGGCATTTCTAGGTAAATAGAAGGACCTTGAGACCATACTTTTAAATGAAATAAATTGGACACACATTCATAAATATTGCATTGTTTTTCTAGGGTGATATATTAAAAAAGTAAATAAGGACCAAGTATATAAAAGTTATTGTGAAATAGGAAGAAAGAGTTCAAAAGGAAGTGTAGCTCTTGAGGGAGAGGGAGAAAGAAGGAAGGGAGAAGAAAAAAATCATAAAAGAGGGTAAAATGGAAACAAAGCTTTGTAAATAAGGAGGGAAAGAAGGGTTGTAAGGAGGGGAGGAGATTGGGGTGAAAAAGGATTCAGGATATATCACACACAGGTATGAATTCCCTGTGATGAATGTGATCATTATGTATACATAAACTGTATCAATAAACTTAATAAGAAAATAAAACATTAATTCAGTGGTGGAATATGATTTTTTCCTTAAGATCGAGAACAAGGGAAAGATGCTCCTTCTCAGTCATCATAATCAATATCATACAGGAAGACAGACAATAATGAAAAGCCAAATAAACCCATGAAAAGTCACAGATTTAAATGGAAGTAATAAAGCTGTCCTTATTCTCATAGTACATGATTGTGTCCTTGGAAGATCCTATGATATCTACAAAATCTGATTGATTCTAGAGGTCTCTAATACCCAAAACCAACAACTGAATTTAGCAAGATCTCTGACTGTAGAGTCTACAAAGAAAGCCTCTGAAAGAATCAAAATGTAAATGATGTTACAAATAGATTAGAAAGATATTCTTTAAAGTAAATTTTTACCAACTGTATATTACGTCCAATTAAAAAGAAACTAAGACATACAATTAGCACATTTAAAACAACTTTAATTTATAATGTAGTTAAAGGTAGTTTAAACAAGGAACAGCAAAAAATTTTAGGTAGTTGTCTTGTGAAAATGTATTCAAGGTCTATCCTAGCTGAACTTTGAAGGTAGACTAAGGCCAACTCACCTTAGGGAGCAGAGCTACTTTTCTTTCACTGTTAGCAGAGGAAAGTTCCCAGTGAGAAATGTCTTACATCAGCACTGTACAACACCAACAAACATTCAAAGAACAATGTCTATGTCTACACGTGACAGACAACCTCAGAGTACCAAAGCAGTCTGTCCAGTGCTCCCAGTCCTCAAAGAAAACAAACTAATTTAATTCACTCAAATTAAATAAAACTTACTTAAATTAAACTGAATCATATTCCCACAAGCTTCCACGTCAATTGCTACTCTTGACCTCAAGCTAGATGATTTTGAAAGGCTGAGATGCAGCTGTGGCACTGGCTTAAATTGCCTCTGGAATATTTAGCTAGGGCTGTTATTGTCTTTCCATCAGCAATACTGGTTTTCTGAGTGGTACTGAAAAACACACGTGAATTGCTATTACTCTATTTTTTTTCAGGTACCAGGAATTGAACTCACGACCTTGGGCTTGCCAGGCAGGTGCTGTACCACTAAGCTAAATCCCCAGTCCTTTTTTTTTTTTTTTTTGTTTTTTTTTTTTGTTTGTTTAATCGCTATTACTCTAAATGATGAATTTAATCTTTTCTTTTCCTTTTTGTCTTCAAACTCAGACATACTGTTAACCTCATTAAGCAAAAAATAAAAAAACCTACTGAAGTCACACATCATTACACAAAGCACTTTGAATAAATCAAGTCGAAAAGAGACACTTGCTTCGTAGCAGAATGTCTAAAAGGAACTAGAGCTCCTTTCAGAATGGCTGTATTTTGGAATTCTTGGTACTTTTTACATTTAACTGTGACAAATCCTTGCCTATTTTCTAATAAAGTGTTTTCATTTGGATAACATATTTGGTTTCATTCTTTAACTGTATTAAACATTTTTGGGTGTGAGTTTTTATAAAATCTAAGTAACAATTTTCTGATATATACAAAGATACAGAAATAAATACCTTTGTTCTTATTATATTGTTTTTTAAAATTATATCCACAAGGATTTTTGAAATTAATAGTATGTTGTATGAATGTGCTTAGAACAAGGCTGGTGTAAGATTTGACAGTCAAGAAAACAGAGATATTCCTAATGTCTTCTGAAATTTTCCCTTCCCTTTCTTCAAATATAAAGTTAGTTATATCATTTTCTTGACCATGATATAGCTTTCAGCAATTAGTAACCTATGCTACCTAGAAGGGAGATTTTAGTTTACATTACATTCTCTCCTTGACTTGCCTGAATTTCTCAGCAGACAACACTTGCTTTGTGTTCTGCAGGGTGGAGTAGCATGTGCCTTCCTAAGTGCTGAAAGCAGTTTCACTTGTTTACTAAACCCTGCCTAGAGTCCTGTTTCTTCCAAAGCTCAGTATGTACAGAGGTTGAGATTTCTCAGTAATATTCAAGCTTGGTTTTTCTTTCTCTTTCATTCAGATTTAGATAATGAGTTAATCATTTTATTTTACCCCTCATTATGTACTGATACATTTCTCACGTTTCCTACTTCTTGTCTTCTACCTTGAACTGTTTTTGTTTTGTAATTTCCCCATTTTAGAGCCTTACATTGCTATCCTTACTTCCTAAAAATTATTTTACAAATATTTTACAGCATCAGATTCATCATTCTTACTGCCAACTTCACCAGATTAATATCCAGTATTTAGTAACCTAATCATACCCTATTATGTACTTAGATTTCTTGTCTTTCTGTACTAGTGGCCTTTTGATACCCTCAGCCATTGCTTAGATACAACTATTTCTGTATTCCATGAGTCCGCAAAATAGTAGATTCGGTTGGAAAAGTGCAATCTTGTTGAATCTTCTTATGTTATTTTTTATTTTAAATCTTATTTAAGCATCAAATCCTACCCTGAAGTGCTTCCTCATTTCCCTATTAAGTTAACTTTCCCATGCTCACAAAATAATACTTTATCATTTATCTTTTTGTCTTTTGCAGTGAAAATCAATTTGTCAGCAGAGATATATGACTTTGTGAAGACTCTGGCCATGAATATGCTTCTAGGTTCATTTCAATTGTTATTGAAAATTGGCCCCATGTGACAACATGGCTGATGTTCCCAACTCTTCACTGGTTTTCAAGGAGGCGCCATTTTCAGCAGTCCCTCAGCTGCTGGTCCTCATTTCCCAATTCTGAAAGTCAGCAATGGCAGGCCAAGTCTGACTCACAATCTAATATTCCCAACCTCTGCTTTGGCCCTGTGTCATTTGACTTTGTCTTATGAAGTATCTCTCATTTATTTGCCTTGATTTCTACCATGTAACACAATGTCTTTCCAGTTTACCATCAGTTGGATAATAAGCACAAATACATGCACAAAATCACATTAGAAGAGGACCTACATTCATCTTTTTTTGTTTTAGATGAGCATGTTTGTTTGTGTGTGTGCACTTCTGGGGAATGAAATGGGACCTCAAGTGGTTAGCATGAGCTCTACAACTTAGCTACCTCCCCAGTCCTAAAATTCAATTTTGAATAACCAGGGGACAGGAAGCTTAGACCCTTGGAAATATAGATTTATAATTTTAAAGCAATCATTTATCAACAAAAGTACACTATACCTTCTATAGATTTTAGTGCAGGAAAATCCCTTGCTCCATTTGAAAGCTATTATTTTTGAATGTGCAACATAAGTTATCATCTTTCCGTTATACAGTCCTCTTGTTACTCAAATATACTTTCAGTTAATCATTGTCTTTGTATTTGATTATATTTACCCCGCTACAACACGTCAACATATCTTATGGAAAATAACAACTGATTTATTTCCATGTTTATATTCTGTCCCAGGTCCTTGCTCACATTTAGAGTGATGCTTCTTAAACAAGTTATATATATTCATTTTCTCTTCTTTGTTATTTAGTAGTGTCTTTTCATTACACTCAGACACACCTCCTACTCCATCATTCACTTTAAATCGCTTGGATCAATTTTTACTAGCCAGCTTTTTTATGGCTGAAACTCAAGATTCAATTATCCAGAACTTAAATGAGAAGAGGTTTAATTCATCTCATGATTTCCATCCATGATCAGAGGCTTCAAAACAGAGACCTCATGGTGGAGGAGCACAGCAGAGCAAAGCTGCTCAGTTATGGGGTCCAGGAGGCACATGCCAGAAGGGACAAAGTACCTGACATAGGTCACAAGGCTGTGCCTCCATGACCCACCCAGACACCAAGCAGTGTCCTCCACCCATTCCTCAGGGTGATCCCACAGCCTGACAAGGTGAAACTCCACCCTACCTGCCACACAGTCACACTCTGGCAGTATTTACATCAAAATTTGCTCATTGATCCTTATTGAAAACCCATATAATTACTCTTCATCATCAACCACCCCACAGTTCCTCCCCATACCATCCAATCTATCTCATCACCTTTTGCTGGAATTTTCTTCTCTTTCTTACCTTTTATTAAAAATTAATTTTATTGGTACAATTTAGATATGTACCTAATGATCATAGTCATCATAGGGACTATGATCTAATATGATTATTCTTTGTTCTCTGCCCCTTCCTCATTGATCCTCTTCCTCATTTTATTTATGAAAGCTTTCCATCCCTAGTGATTAAGGAGCTAGAAAGAGTACAACAAACCCAGGGAACAAACAGGATCTATATTTACTACATACCCATGTAGAGTATCAGCCAAGTGATCTGGCTCCAACACAACTAGATTATCATGATCTTGGAGGCAAAGCCAATACTCTGAGAACCACCAGGTTAAGGTCTTTAATAGTGTTACTGGTTTGCTTGACTAAAAATTGTGTTTTACCATCATATGCACAGACACACATGCAAAGCCACACAGAAATAAAGGTTTAGAAAACATGCTGTTCCAAAGAAAACTAATAAAGATCCAGTACCTGATTTTTTTTTTTTTTTTTTTTTTTTTTGGTTTTTCTCCGGTACAGGGAACCGAACTCATGACCTTGCGCTTGCCAGGCAGGCGCTTTTGCCACTGAGCTAAATCCCCAGCCCCCCAGTACTTGATTTTTAAAGAAGTGAAGATTTAAGAGTTGTTTCAAACAATTCAGAAATATCATGATAAAATTTCAGTGAGATACAGATGACTCAATGAAATGAATAAAACATGCACAAAATTCAAAGGATATGACAAATAAGAACTATAAATCATGAACAACAAATAAAACTTGAAAAGCACTGAAATACATAGAAAACATCAAAAAGAAAAACAAATTGTGCTCCCAGAGCTAAAGAACACAAGGTCAAGGCTGAAGAATTCAGTAGGGTTTCATCAGCAGAATGGCCATGCAGATAAATACATTAGTGAGTTCAAACAGAAAATCATTTGACAATTAAGGAGAAAATATCAACAGAATTTTTTTTTAAAAAGTGGAGAAAGCATAAGTGATTTGTCAAGTACCATCAGGCATAAAATATATAAATTGTAGGATTTTTCAAAAGAAGAGTAAAAGAAAGTGTAGACATACGTAAGAGTAAAAGAGGAACTTTTAGAGAAGAGGGACGCAATGGTGAGGGCAAAGAACAAAGGACAGTAATAGGAAGCAGAGAAGATCAAAGTATGTTATACCATTGTAGGAAAATGCCACACTGGAAGTAATGACTCTATAAATTAATATGCACTAAGAAAATAATTACCAAAATGATGAAACAATTATGCTTTTTCCAAGAGAAGAATATTGATGAAAAGAGACTCATCAGCACAAATCCTTAAAGAGTGGTAAACAAATCATCACGAGCCATCAGCCTTCTCTTTTAAAGATGACTCATTAAAAAAGCAACAAAGAGTAACCAACTTTGAGAGTGTGAAGAAAGGGGAACGCTTGTACTTTGTTGATGAGCTGTAGACTCGTACCCCTACTGATGAAAACATCGCGGAGTCCCCCTCATAATAGTAAAAGTAAAACTACCATGTTACCCAGCAACTACACTTCTTCCTATACATCCATGGGAAATTAAATCAAATTGTCAAATAACTGCATGCACATGTTCACTACAGCATTATTAGCAATAACCAAGGTTGAGAAGCTACTGAAGTGCCTACACATGGGTGAGAAGATCAATAATTTGTGATATATATATGTATATATGATATATATTATATATATTATGTATATGGCACCATCCTACCAAAGAAAGAAATTTTATTATTTGTGACAACCTAGGGAACATTGTGTTTTATGCTTTATTTGTATACATAAAAGATTGCTGTAATAGTAAAAAGGTTAAATAAATATTTGCTGAAAAACTGAGTAAACAAGAGTCCCACAGTTGGGTTCTCTCTCCTATCATTAACTCGTTAATTCTTAACCTTTTTTGTACTCTAGAATATTTTGAGGAGCTTTTAAAAAATTACTGCAGCCTGTACCATATTTCACTTTGTTAAGATATGGTTTGGAGGCTTCCCCATGTAACAAAATGTAGGAAGATTCATGCAGGTGGTGGCATTATGAGCTTCTATGAATCTGCTTAGTAGCCTGTGTTCTGTCTCTGTCTCTGGCCCTAGATCTGAACTGAGTATCATGATGGACACAGCGAGGTTCTCCACTGTCCTTCTTTTCATGAAGAACATGTGTCTATTCTACTAATAAACTTGATGTTTTATGAAATCTGAGTCTTTCACATCGTTAGCTGAGTGTTTATTTCATTGACTTTTTCAATGATCTCAAGGCTATTTTCACTTTAGATATACTGTTTTGACTACTTTGAGCCCAGGTTTATGCACAAAGGTAAAATAGAAAAGAAAAAAAAAATGCCAGAAATGACTCATCTTGAAATAGGCTTAGTTGATAAGGACCTATTCTCCATTAAAAATTATTATTATTACTGAAGCTTATTAGAAGGATGTTACCT